CTTAATTCAATGTGTATAGATAACCAAGACTCAGTGTAATGATAACTGAATCATTATAGTGATAACTGAGACTCAGGATGGCGAGGAAATTCACTGGGGGCTCTAAGGTGACTCGAACCAGCAACCAATACATTGCCAGTCGCACACTTTACCACTGTACCACTACGACTTGCTAAAAGTCATACAACCTGATTTCTACTGAAATTACAGGAGGTCTGAAGGTCCTTCCTGCGATTTCAGCAGAAATCCGGTTGTATTACTTTTACCCAGTCGGTGGTGATGCAGTGGTAGTGTGCGCGGGGCTGGGAGTGCCCTGGTAGGAGGTTCGAGTCACTCATGACCCCCAGTGGGTTTTCTCATTGATATATTTCGCGTTAGTGTGATTTTGTGTGTGTGTAATTCTGGACTGTGATAACCTAGACTCAGTGTCGAGATAACTGGCCCATTGTAATGATAACTGAGGCTCAATATATCGATATCTGAGACGCAGTGTAGTGATAACTCTGCAATACTACTGTAATAATCACTTAATAAATACAATAAAAGCGAGAGATCACAGGCCAAAGACCCCGCCACTGCGACACGGGTGACGTGGGAAGGGGGGGGGGGGGGGGTGGGGGGGGGGAGACCAGCCTCCGACCAAACAAGCGTTACGACCTGGGGTAATCACCTCCAAAGCAAACACCAATTACCGCTAATTAAAGCTAGATTTTTAAGTTAGGTGATATTTGAATATTTGGCTTTAGTGAGTAGTTTGTAATATGGGGTGTGGAGGGCGGGGGGTTAGGGGGGAGAGGAGACTTCACTGACAGCTATTGGTGTGATGGTGATATGGGCAGGATGTTAGGGTAGGAGGATAGGGGTTAGGATGTCTGGGTAGGAAGGGCAGGATGTCTGGGTAGGGAGAGATGAGGCTGGTGGGCCCAAGTGTGGTTCGTTCATGTTCGTCGTTCAAGTAGCATGGTTACCTTAAGCAGGAAAGTAGCGTAGCCTGTCGTGTTAAGCATAAACAAAGGTTGACCTGTTATGTTAATCTGGCAAGTTGCTTGATCTGTTGTGTTATGCGGGAAAGTAACTTGGCCCGTTATGTCAGGCAGGAATGGAGCTTAACCTCTTTTGTTAAGCAGGGAAGTAGGTTGGTGTGTTATATTAAGCAGGGAAATAGCTTGGCCTGTTGTTGTGTTAAGCAGGAATGTTGCTTGGCCTGCTGTGTTGGGCAGCAAACAAGCTTGGTCTACTGTATTAAGCAGAAAAGTAGTTTGGCCTGCTATGTTAAGCAGGGAAATAGCTTGGCCTGCTATGTTAAGCAGGGAAATAGCTTGGCCTGCTTTGTTAAGCAGGGAAATAGCTTGGCCTGCTTTGTTAAGCAGGGAAATAGCTTGGCCTGCTTTGTTAAGCAGGGAAATAGCTTGGCCTGCTTTGTTAAGCAGGGAAATAGCTTGGCCTGCTTTGTTAAGCAGGGAAATAGCTTGGCCTGCTTTGTTAAGCAGGGAAATAGCTTGGCCTGCTTTGTTAAGCAGGGAAATAGCTTGGCCTGCTTTGTTAAGCAGGGAAATAGCTTGGCCTGCTTTGTTAAGCAGGGAAATAGCTTGGCCTGCTTTGTTAAGCAGGGAAATAGCTTGGCCTGCTTTGTTAAGCAGGGAAATAGCTTGGCCTGCTTTGTTAAGCAGGGAAATAGCTTGGCCTGCTTTGTTAAGCAGGGAAATAGCTTGGCCTGCTTTGTTAAGCAGGGAAATAGCTTGGCCTGCTTTGTTAAGCAGGGAAATAGCTTGGCCTGCTTTGTTAAGCAGGGAAATAGCTTGGCCTGCTTTGTTAAGCAGGGAAATAGCTTGGCCTGCTTTGTTAAGCAGGGAAATAGCTTGGCCTGCTTTGTTAAGCAGGAAATAGCTTGGCCTGCTTTGTTAAGCAGGGAAATAGCTTGGCCTGCTTTGTTAAGCAGGGAAATAGCTTGGCCTGCTTTGTTAAGCAGGGAAATAGCTTGGCCTGCTTTGTTAAGCAGGGAAATAGCTTGGCCTGCTTTGTTAAGCAGAAAAATAGCTTGGCCTGCTTTGTTAAGCAGGGAAATAGCTTGGCCTGCTTTGTTAAGCAGGAACGTAGCTTGACCTGTTATACAAGTAAGAAATTTTTGTCTAACTATAGGTGTGAGCGTCCAGGCCCCACACACCGCCCAACTGATGCGTGACTGGGACCTTCTGGCGACGTTAGTGTCAAGGGGCCAGATTCACGAAGCAGTTACGCAAGTACTTACGAACGTGTACATCTTTCCTCAACCTTTGACGCCCTTGGTTACATTTATTAGACAGTTTACAAGCATGAAAACTTGCCAATCAACTGTTGTTATAGTTATAAACAGCCTCCGGGTGCTACGGATCTTATTAACTGTTTAATAATTGTAAACAAAGCCGCCAAAGATTGAGAAAAGATTTACAGGTTCGTAAGTGTTTGTGTAACTTCTTCGTGAATCTAGCACAAGGAAGACAGGGAAATCCTGTGGATAAATGTACGTGGAGTGTCGTATCAATGGTAACTTTAAATAATTAGAAGATACCAAGTGTTTTTGCCTGGTATACACAGTGGCATGGGGTTTTAGGTCTATTTTTTTGTTTACAAAGGGTGAGTGCCAAATACATGATTTAGAAAGAAGTGTGTGTTATGTGTATCCAATTTAAACAGCAGAAAGCTTGTTTTGGACTATTTACACATATTTAAGAGGAATCTTGATACAGTTTCCTGTCTAATGTTTGATACTCAAGACACACAAGGGAAGAGAAGGGAAGAACTTATAATCTGCCTCTAACTGTGAACTAACACTAATTTATAAGAAGCACGTTATATGTTCACAGAATATAAGCAAAATCTTTGTAGCTTGTCTTCCAATCGAAGGCTCTAAGAACTCCTGAATGTCTTAAAATATTGCTTGTTAAGGGATCTGTTAGGAATGGTCTCTAGAAGCCTGCTTCCTCTCGCAGGTAAAGTCTGGAAGGTTTTCCAAAACTCCTGCTTTCTTTCGATGGTACTGTCTGGAGCATCTTCCAGGATCCCCAACTTTCTCCTGAGTGCCTTACCTGGAGCATCTTCCAGGACCCCCAACTTCCTCCAGAGGGCCCTACCTGGAGCATCTTCCAGGACCCCCAACTTCCTCCAGAGGGCCCTACCTGGAGCATCTTCCAGGACCTCCAACTTCCTTCTGAGGGCCCTACCTGGAGCATCTTCCAGGACCCCCAACTTCCTCCAGAGGGCCCTACCTGGAGCATCTTCCAGGACCCCCAACTTCCTCCAGAGGGCCCCCTAGCATCTGGAGCATCTTCCAGGACCTCCAACTTCCTTCTGAGGGCCCTACCTGGAGCATCTTCCAGGACCTCCAACTTCCTTCTGAGGGCCCTACCTGGAGCATCTTCCAGGACCCCCAACTTCCTCCAGAGGGCCCTACCTGGAGCATCTTCCAGGACCTCCAACTTCCTTCTGAGGGCCCTACCTGGAGCATCTTCCAGGACCTCCAACTTCCTCCTGGGGGTCCTACCTGGAGCATCTTCCAGGACCTCCAACTTCCTCCTGAGGGCCCTACCTGGAGCATCTTCCAGGACCTCCAACTTTTTCCTGGGGGTCCTACCTGGAGCATCTTCCAGGACCTCCAACTTCCTCCTGAGGGCCTTACCTGGAGCATCTTCCAGGACACCAGCTTCCTCTTGAGTGTCTTGCCCGGAGCGTGTTTCAAGATCCCATGTTCTCTCTCAAATGTTCTGTCTAGAGCGACATCCGGAAGCTCAGCTGCCTCTCGAAGGTCCTGTCTGGAGCAACTTCCAGGACACAAACTTCTTCTTGAAGGCCCTGTATGGAGTGCCTTCTAAGATTTTCAGCTTCTTGTCGAAGTTCTTGTCTGAAGTGACTTCCAGGACCCCCAGCCTGTAGCATCTTCCAGGACCCCCCAGCCTGTAGCATCTTCCAGGCCCCCCAACCTGTAACATCTTCCAGGACCCCCAGCCTGTAACATCTTCCAGGACCCCCCAGCCTGTAGTATCTTCCAGGACCACCCAGCCTGTTGCATCTTCCAGGACCCCCAGCCTGTAGCATCTTCCAGGCCCCCCAGCCTGTAACATCTTCCAGGACCCCCAGCCTGTAGCATCTTCCAGGACTCCCCAGCCTGTAGTATCTTCCAGGACCCCCCCAGCCTGTAGCATCTTCCAGGACAATTAGCCTGTAGCATCTTCTAGGACCCCCAGCCTGTAGCATCTTCCAGGACCCCCCAGCCTGTAGCATCTTCCAGGACCCCCCAGCCTGTAGCATCTTCCAGGACCCCCCAGCCTGTAGCATCTTCCAGGACCCCCCAGCCTGTAGCATCTTCCAGGACCCCCCAGCCTGTAGCATCTTGCAGGACCCCCAGCTTGCTTTCCAAGACTTGGCAACAAGACTCAGGTTAACACGGTGACATCTCTCAGGAGTATGTACCAGCAAGACAAGCACTTCGACAGCTGGATACTATGATTGACAAGCTGTATTAAATCAGAATTAGTCACAGACACACCACTAAGCCAGTGGTGGCAAGATGGCGGGTAGCGCCGCTCCTCTGACACAACAATACGGCTTCTCTAGCTTCACTAAACAATACATTGTTTACTAGTTGAAACCATGATATATGTTCTGGAAAACTATTTTTTAACAATATACATTCGTAGCGAGAAGCGAATAATTGTTCTTTAGAAATCAATGGACTTAAGATTACGAATATTAATACACTGTTAATTTGATCGTGGGAGTATTGAGTTAGTTCTGGCGCGCCTCTCGTTGCCTAGTGTTCACTAACGGCCACTCCTCGCCTACATCTTTCCGTGTGCTAAACACGCTCTAGAGCGCGTGAGGTTTGGGAAACACTTGATGGTTCGATGTGTGCGTGGTTATTTGGTGTACACACGCTGGCCTCTTGTACGCGGTTCGAATGTTAATATTGCGTCATCTACAGATGTGTAATGTCCCCAGCGCGCGCCTCGCACAGTCAGGAGCATGACTGCGTTAGCTGTCAGGTGTGGAGATGGCCGTGAGCGTGACCTGCAGCGCCGGGTAGACAGGATGGCCAGGATGCAGCCGGATACAGCAGCAGCAGCAGCAGCATCAGGAGCCCCACGCTGGCCCACGGTCGAGCCAAGTGTCCGGTGGTGGCCCCGCAGTTGAGTGCGACGAGGCAGCAGCTGCACCAGAGGCCAGCCCACAGGCGGGGTACTGCTGAGCTGCTAGAGGTAGGGGCGCCCATACCGCCCCTGCTGCTGCCATGCCTGTCCTTCGTCAGCCCTCCTCCCAGACGACCGCGCCTGATGCTGTTCTCATCCAGGGTGTAGTCAGGAGAGTCAGAGTCCAAATCTGGCGGGGAAAAATATAAGTTAGGGGTGACCCACACGTGAGGAAGTGCCTCAGACTAGCTGCTCTGGTGATGGCTGACTAGTGACCACTAGCTCTGGTGATGGCTGGCTAGTGACCACTAGCTCTGGTGATGGCTGGCTAGTGACCACTAGCTCTGGTGATGGTTGACTAGTGACCACTAGCTCTGGTGATGGCTGACTAGTGACCACTAGCTCTGGTGATGGCTGACTAGTGACCACTAGCTCTGGTGATGGCTGGCTAGTGACCACTAGCTCTGGTGATGGCTGACTAGTGACCACTAGCTCTGGTGATGGCTGACTAGTGACCACTAGCTCTGGTGATGGTTGACTAGTGACCACTAGCTCTGGTGATGGCTGACTAGTGACCACTAGCTCTGGTGATGGCTGGCTAGTGACCACTAGCTCTGGTGATGGCTGGCTAGTGACCACTAGCTCTGGTGATGGTTGACTAGTGACCACTAGCTCTGGTGATGGCTGGCTAGTGACCACTAGCTCTGGTGATGGCTGACTAGTGACCACTAGCTCTGGTGATGGCTGGCTAGTGACCACTAGCTCTGGTGATGGTTGGCTAGTGACCACTAGCTCTGGTGATGGTTGACTAGTGACCACTAGCTCTGGTGATGGTTGACTAGTGACCACTAGCTCTGGTGATGGCTGACTAGTGACCACTAGCTCTGGTGATGGCTGACTAGTGACCACTAGCTCTGGTGATGGTTGACTAGTGACCACTAGCTCTGGTGATGGCTGACTAGTGACCACTAGCTCTGGTGATGGCTGACTAGTGACCACTAGCTCTGGTGATGGCTGGCTAGTGACCACTAGCTCTGGTGATGGTTGGCTAGTGACCACTAGCTCTGGTGATGGCTGACTAGTGACCACTAGCTCTGGTGATGGTTGACTAGTGACCACTAGCTCTGGTGATGGCTGGCTAGTGACCACTAGCTCTGGTGATGGTTGGCTAGTGACCACTAGCTCTGGTGATGGCTGACTAGTGACCACTAGCTCTGGTGATGGTTGACTAGTGACCACTAGCTCTAATGATGGCTGACTAGTGACCAGTAGCTCTGGTGAGAACTATCAATAGCTCAAATAATGACTGGTTAATTTCGGTGTACCATTGATGACGATGACTGAACAAATTGATAACTGAACTAGTCAACGACTGAACTAGTCAACGACTGAACAAGTCAACGACTGAACTAGTCAACGACTGAACTAGTCAACGACTGAACTAGTCAACGACTGAACTAGTCATCGACTGAACTAGTCATCGACTGAACAAGTCATCGACTGAACAAGTCAACGACTGTTAATGAGCTTTGAGCTGATAATTTAATGAAACAGATACGGATGGTTGGACGGTTGTGTGAATAATGAATTATCGGACATTCCATCTGATGAATAATTGATAACACGCAATGATGCATGATTTTTAAATTATATAATGTATTACATGAAATTCAAAATGACGAATAATTTAAATAATTCACGACGAATGAGTAAAAATGTAAAATATTATGTGAATCAAAATATTCTTGCTTTTCAGCATGTAATATTCCATGTCGGAAAATCCGACACCATTTAATAATATCATACAGGCAGATAATATTGCTGTGTTGTATAAACAAGTTAACCCATAGAAAATGTAACTTGTAGTGGAATTTCCGTCTATAGAAAATGGGATATCATTACCACATACTATTATAAATTCACCACCTATTATGGTGGGAATTATTCTTAAATACATTAGTCTTTGGACTTTACCATCATAAAAACATCTCATATAAATTAACTTAATTATCAGAATTAAAATAGAGTAAATGTGACCCTTCTATCACTTACTGTCATCTGGACAATGTAGACCAGTAGCGTCAGTGAGGAGGGAGTGGTCAGCCATTGTTATTGTTTAAGACCACAGAGGCTCACGGGAGCAAATACGGCTCCTGTTAATTTTACTTGGACGAAGTGTTATGGAAGATCAGAGTAGTGATCTGCCATCATCAACACGCTGTCATCAATCTCAAGGGAAGTGTCTTTCCGAAACCCGTTTATCTTTCATTTATGGCCATTAATGTCAGTAGATATTGGGTGAGCCAATTAGATCACAAATGATCGACTCAAACAAGGTAATTAAGCCTAGGTCTTTATGGTTCCTTGTACAGTGTTTTCTCTGATATAGCTGTCATATATTAGGATTCTGGCTTCACAGCTAGCGCCCTTTTGACAGGTCAAGACGAGGAAGCATGCTTTGTGTACCAGTTACTGGGTGATGGAAGCTACCTCAAAGAGGATAATTTGGTGTCTACATCCTAGTTATACCTGGTGGACTAAGGCCTGCTGTACAATAAGATAAGGAACCTCTTCAATGTACACTAATGTGTAGTTAATACTGTAGTTTGATTGGATGCATATATATAAATTTAATATAAACCCCCCCTAATGTGTAGAGGATCGATTTGTGAGATTATTGCAGAAATACAGTCCACTTATCATCATACAAATTGCTATCGAAGTATATAAATTAATGTAAATATAAATTCTATATAAATTAAATAAATATAAATCTCACAGGTCGGTTCCCACATTCCATGATAATTCACTGGAAATAAAAATGAATAATTTAGTGTATGAAAATAATAACTAAAGACATGAAATTACTAATAATTCAGTATATGAAATGATCGAAGATCCAGATACAAAATTAATATATATATATATATATATATATATATATATATATATATATATATATATATATATATATATATATATATATATATATATATATATATATATATATTGTGACGATAATCTCCTTCAAGAGATTGAGCCTGCTCTTCCCTCCAAAAATATGTCGCAACAAATATATAAAACTACTATGGAAGAAATGTCCAACAACGACAACAACACCAGCAAGGTTTGCCAGAGCGCAAAACGTATGCAGCCAGGGACACCTGCTCAGACTCAAACCGCCAAACTACCTGTCTTACTGCCGGCTCCTCGCTGATTGGTTGCCAGTCTGGCTGCAATTGCACTCACCCCCCCATACTACTTGATGTCTGGGGCCGCCACGACCTCAGTCCTCAGAATATTCCGTGCTTTCACAGTTAACACTTCTCCCTGCTAGACGTAAGCTTTGGCGTACGTGTACTAAGAGAGGTGATAGCTTAAAGCCAATATTCCAGCACCTTTCATTTACTTGTATATTGCACTTCTTGTTATTTTGTCTTAACGTAACTTTTCATTGTGTCATTTAATTATTCTTATTATTTTGATTGATTGATTTTATTATACGAATTGTTTGTCCATTTTATTCATGTTTATTTATTTAACGTAATTAAAATTTCATTGTTAAAGTTTACTTGTGTTTTGTGTGTCTTCTCCTTACCTTACCACAGACGAAGTTCCAGATTTTCTATTTTTTTTTTAATACTATGTGACGAGGCCATACCCCTAGCTTTGAACAGCCGAACACCAACGCGTTACCGTCACATATTATATGGGGGCCTGTCCTAGGAGCTTCACTCAGGTACTGGTGCCAAGTGGTAATTTATGGTAAGCGTATTTAACTTTGTTAACGTAGCTTTACTATTTTTCATATTCAATTTCATTTTTTATAAGGTGCGGTGTATTGTGCATTACGAGAGTAACATATGGTGAAGGTGAGACAACTTTGGATTACGTGGTGACTGTAGGCCGCAGTCATACTCTTAATTGGTCATCTCTCCCTCCGTGTTATTACTCGTGTTTACCATCTTTGTTCCTTGGATATTTCTCATTTTTGACAGATCATCATATTGGTACCCTGGTACTGTGGTCTGCCCCGGGTCAAGAGTACCCAATCTTCTGCAATCTGACTGTAGGAGGACAAAGAGGGCCATAGTTCCTCTAGCTCGAACTGTAGTTGCTGAATTGGGACCTCAGCAGCAGTTCTCGTCACCAGTTGACACCTCGCACCCCTACACGTCAGTCAGAGATGATGATACATACAACGGTAGGGAATTAGCTTACTTTTTCAGAGCACAAAAGTTCGCTAATTCTGTAAGTATCATATTAAATTCAGTAGGAAAAACTTGCTTTATGTCCTATAGAGACTTGGCAAGGTATGCCTACATCCTTGGACTACCAATTTTACTTTTGAGGCAATTAACTGTTTCATTTGTTTTCGAAACTCTGTTTCATTTGTTAGTAGGATTTTCTTGCCCTTATCCTCTTACATGAGTACCGGGTACAAGATTTCCTGCGCCCTTGATTTAAAATTAATCATTTAACATCTTTTACTTAACTTTAATTGTTAAAGATCCCACAGGATAGGTACCAGTTGCCACGTTGTCCTGTTTCTGACATTCACTATTGAATATTCGTGTACCTTTATTTGCTAATTTCACCATGTTTCGTCTCCAAGCTTTCCGTGCAAATCCAGCAGGTGAAATAGGGACTTTAAGTCGTGCCAAGAAGACTGAATTACAAACTCTTGCACATGAGTATCAACTAGAAGTTCCCTACCAAGCCAACAAAAACGACCTACACAACCTGTTACTGGATTACTATTTAGAGCAAGGTAAGATAGACTCTGAAACTCATGAAACTTACTATATTGCAGATAAAACTGATTTGGCAACGCTGAAACTCAAACTAGAGCTGGCCAAGATTGAACGTGAGCAGCAAAGAGAAGCAGCTGCCATACGAAGGGAAGAACAAGAACGAGAAATCACCCTCCGAGAACGTGAAACTACTTTGAGGAGAGAAGAACAAGAACGCGAAGCTGCCTTGAGGAGAGAACACGAACGTGGACTCGCCCTCCACGAACGTGAGGTCGCCTTGCTCCATGAACGTGAGAGAGTACAGCTTGAAACAAAACAACGCGAGTTGGAGATACAACGCGAGCATGACAAGCAACAAGCGACTCTGGCTCTAGAGTGTCGTCAACGCGAAATCGCCTTGGAAACTTCACACTTCACTCAACGCCAGCAAGCTACT